GTTTTACATTTTCTAATTATAGATGTTCATTTAGTATCAGTTTGGTTCAAATAGATCAGTTTTACCACAGCACTGGGTATTATATAAGCTTAAGATAGTTTCTTTCTAAACTAATACATACATAAATGAATTTTAATACTGTTTTAGTTTTCAGTTTTGATAGCTATAACTTTCAGACATTCCCCCTATTTATTTAATTATTGGTGTCTTAGGTGRATGGTCTGTTTAGATCTTATTCACATTTTTGACTGGAGCTTTGATGGGATTTTATTTCAGGAGACTTTAAAAATAAGAATAGTCTAATTACAAGAAAAATTGCAGTAAGGAACCAAAAGAACATGGTTATGACCAAAGACTAAAGGAAGACATAAAGGTAGAAAGGGTCAGAGACACATAATAATGGAGGTTGGAGTTCATGAGATAAATCAGTTATCCTTGTGACTGTAGGGTAGCTATATCTAGTCTTTAAAAGTCCGTATTTTCCTCATTTCCAAACTCAGAGCTAGAAAAAAAAATCTCTCAGAAGGATTTATACCTTTGACTGCTAAGAATTTAAATATGACTCATTTATTTAAGTTTATGTAGTAAAATGTCAAGAATATAATTAACGATTTGCACTCTCAAATGCATGATAAAGATCTTTTAAGAACGGGTTGTGGCTTAGGGGTAGAGCGCTTGCCTAGCATGCATGAGGCACTAGGTTCTATTAAAAATAAGAACAAATAAAATAAAGGTATTGTGTCCATCTACAACTAAAAAKAAAAAAATRTTTTAAAAAAGATCTTCTAGCAGAAATTYGTTTTATTGTAYTACTCACTAGTAAGAATAGCCTTTGGCTGGCACCTGGTGMTGGCAGCCTCATTGGRCACACRAARTTAGCTTTTTCTCTTGAAKTTTTATGACTGCTATTATTTCTAAGGTAGGCTAGTTGTTGGATCTTTTAGTTCATTGACAAGTTTGTGATTAGAAATCAGGTAATGAAGTGATACAGACATACTCTGAGTTGTATTAAATATATAATTCAACTTAGACTTTGCATTCAGGATCCATTTGTATATACATCTAGCAAATATTTACTGGAGAACCTGCTAAATATCATTTATACATGCTTATGTCTCTCCTACTTTAAAAAGCAAAGCAAAAGAAAATGAAAATTCTTAATGATTTTTGGGTCTGCCTGTAACTACACAGTTAAACATATTGAGATAAAGGCCACATTTGCTGCATAAATTCCTGCATAAATTCCTCAACATTTTTCAATCCATTATAAACTGATTTTTGCTGTTACCATTGCAATGAATTACCAAGGAAACCCCATCAAACTAAATCTGATTGAAAAATTTAATCCTTATTTTACAGATTATTTTGTTGCTTCTGACACTGTTGGCCATCTTTTTTTTTTTTAATTGACCACATAGCCTGACACTTTCTTTTTTTTTTTAAAAGAGAGAGAGAGAGAGAGAGAGAGAGGAGAGAGAGAGAGAGAGAGAGAGAGGAGAGAGAGAGAGAGAGAGAGAGAGAGAATTTTTTAATATTTATTTTTTAGTTTTCGGCGGACACAACATCTTTGTTTGTATGTGGTGCTGAGGATCGAACCCGGGCCGCACGCATGCCAGGAGAGCGCGCCACCGCTTGAGCCACATCCCCAGCCCCTAGCCTGACTTTCTAATGCTGCTGTTTTCTAGGATTCAGTTCTTATTTTTCTTACATTCTAATTCCGTGCATGCTTTCAATCTCATTTATAAACATAACTTCGAGTGCCTTCTGAATGTCCCTGACTCCCAGCTATGATCTATCACCCGGTAGGTCACCAAAACCTGCTGACTATTCCCTTAACATCTCCCAGACTTATGTACTTATCTTTTTAACTCAAGATATGCTTTAACCTGACCTAATATATCACTGCAGCTCTACATTGTTACTTTACTCAAATATGTTTGAAAAGTTGATCACTTTTCTCTGTCTCTTCCACTGCTGGGCAGGGCCTGTTCCTACCAATTCTTAGTTGGATCACTGCAATAGCTGCCCCAGGGTATCTCTGCTGTAGTCCTTGCCTCTGCTAGCAGATTTCCAGCACAGTGATTCTTTAAAATCCCAAGTCAGTGCATGTCATCCTTTAGCTGGACACTTTATTCAGAACAGAGGCCCAAGTCTGACCTGCCTTTTTTTTTTTWAAACACTCTATTCACTTCTCTGCTGTAGTCATGATGGCATCCTTGTGGTTTCTAAAACATTTCCAAAAAACACTCCYACCTCAAGACCTGGTACTTTTTGTTTCCTGTGCCTGCAGTGATCTTCCCTGTGTAGCTGCATGACTCACTCCTTGAATTTTTATAGGTTATAGTTTAACTAGTATTTTACTAGAGACCAACCTGACAATCCTTTATATAGTGGTTACTGTTCTCCATCACCCACCCCTGTACTTTCTATTTTGTATTTATTCATAGCCTACAATAGTGTCTGAAACATCCAGACTTTATGTTTGCTGAATGAATGTACTTGTTGACTGATTTCCCCTTGTTAGGTAGACACTCATACTGCTGCCAGAATGACCCTTCTAAAATACAGGTCTGATTGTGGCACTCAACAGATTAAAAATCTCTGTTACTCACTGTTCTTGGGATAATATCCGAGTGACTTGCTGTAGAATATAATCAAAATGAGCTCTTTCACCTCTGCTACATATACCTCTTACTCCTCCACTTTCTAAATCTGCCATTCTCATTTGCATTTTCATGTATTTGAGTGTTTTGTTACTTCTTTCTGGATTTTCCCCCTTCCATTCTTTCGCGGCCTAAATCTCTATATTTCCAGAAGCTTTAAATTTTTATCCATCCATCCATCCATGCAGGGTACTCTTGCAGAATTTATGGCCTACTTCTACTAAAGCACTCTTATGACTGTACTGTGACTATTTAGTTTTCTGGCTCAAATTTTTCTTGTGTTATGCACTTTAAGTATTTAACAATTTTTTTACATTTAGATTTTTTAAACTTTAGAATATCACCCTGCAGAATTTAATGCCTAACTTACCATGATTTTGTGAGTGATTAAATGGAAAATATGATGAGAAATATCACAGTATTCTGGAAATATATCTGACATTAATGTTATTTTGTTACCATTTTAAGTGTTACCAACACATGAATATAGATAGATTCATGTACCATTATTGATGCTTTCCCCATTATAGTTTAGCATCAAAATCTAAACAGGGAAGGATAACATTTTACTAATCATATTATTTATGACTAACTTCCTTGTTTACAGGCTTGTGGAAATTATATTTGAAGAGCTGCCTATAAACATCTGATCTCTTTAATAATTCCATTTGTAAATTATTTAGCATCTGCATCCTGCCGTTATGTAGGGACCATGTAGTTGTGCTAGCTCATTAAAACTGCATTACTTTCGACCCCAGAATTCACCAATGGGATTTTATTATAAACACAATGAAATTTTGATTAGGGTTCTGAGACAAGTGCTTGTCAAAGTAAATACTTGCTATACATGTTGATATGTTACCACAGTGCTGAAAAAAAATAGGCTTTTAGGAGAAGAATTATAAGTGGAGTAAAGGAGGGGAAATTATTTGGAAATCCTATAGTAAATTCATAAAATAACTCATAAGCCCAAACATCACTAATAAACTGAAAAGGGAGGCTTATCCYGCCCCATTAAGAAGCATGGGATTAAATCACCATCAGATTGATGTCTTCAAGGTCCATGTTATTTTTAATTATGGACAAGTTCCATAAGTACTTAAAAAAATAGAATGATATAGCCAAAACTTCTAGGACTTCTTGAAAACTGATAAACTTTTTTCCTTATGAGTAGATCTTTTCAGCTCTGTCATTCTGTGATTGAGGAACCTTTTTCATTAAAGTGAGTGACTTTGTTAACAGAATAGGAAAAATTTGTGCTCTTTGTTTCACTTATAAATGTGCAAGATGATTTTACTCTTTTACCTGCTTTGGGAAGACCTTTGTGCATAAATACCTTGAACTGTAGCACATATCCAGGTTTAAGGGTCAAATCTCGAGTTACTGCAAATCGATCTCCATCTGATTTTCCAAACACCATGGCTGAAGGCGTGGTGGCACAAAAGGTTTCATTTTTAACCATTCCTTCATTAGCCAACATCAACCACACACTCATTTGATTCATAGGGTAATCAAACGCTGGCTTCTCATAAAAGTTCTAATAGAAACAATACAAATAAAGCAGGAAAGCAATTTAATAGCTCTGAAAACAAAAAAGGAATTTTCAGTTCATGACATGCTGACCCATGTACCACTAGTATTTCTAGGAAAATACAGAAGAAGCTCCAAATTAACTTTGACTGCCATTCACATTTTCTCTTGATGATTTAACAACCAAAAATATTTTGCTGCTGTTTACAATCATTTTTTAAACACACTAACCATTCTGCTTGATAACTTGGTTAGACTTTATAGTCCTTTTCACATCCAAATAATCTGTGAGCTAGTAGCCAAGAGAGGTAACCAAAAAATGAAGTTACAAACACTAAAATACCTGGGGTAAAGTTGGGTTCACAACTGGAATAACCTGCTTCTGCTTCTCTGACAGAATGATGATGTCATCTACTGCCCACTGGTCATAGTCCTCCCCAGAGAACATGGGCTGCCACCAGCGGAACCTGGTGCAAGGGGTCTTAGCAGCGGCTGGAAGCTCCAGATACACAAATCTGCAGAAGAGCAAATCATTTATGGGGAGGAAAGGAAAAGCTGTGTTTTTCTTAGAAGCTGGTGAAATAACAAACTTAGCAACAGGAGATTTTAGTTTGATATTTTGAAATTCTAAGTTTGGACAGATCAAATAAGGAGGCTTAATGTTGTGAGAAAGTTTGATCCTGATCATGTTTACTTCATTTGGAATGGTATCCTTTGGAGAAGAGGAAAAATATTTCAGCTGCATTTGATTCACCCACTTCTTTTGACTACCAGAAGGTGGCTCATAACTTTTAAAGAAATATCAAGAAAAAAACAGTTCCTTCATACTTACTACATAAATAATGGTAATTTTAAAAATGTAAGGGTAATTCTTACCAGGGAAAAAAAATCTAACTATGGTTGGTCTTTGTGAACATTTTTTTTTTTGGTACGAGGGATTGAACTTGGAGCACTCTGTCACTGAACCACATCCCCAGCCCTATTTTGTATTTATTTAGAGAGAGGGTCTCACTGAGTTCTCAGCACCTCACTTTTTGCTGAGGCTGGCTTCGAACTTTCGATCCTCCTGCCTCAGCCTCTGGAACCGCTGGGATTACAGGCATGTGCCACCACATCTGGGTCTGTTAACATTTTGATGTATATTATCCTACTCTGTAATTTATTTTATAGGCATTTACATTTTGGAACAACATTGTATCGTAAGTAATTATGTCAGTGAAATTATTTAAGAATAATTTAATGTCTACGATTTTTCATCACRTGGACATGCTAGTGTTTATCTTTCCCTATTACAAATAATTTTGTGGTGGGATTTCCTATACATAAAGCTTCCTCTACTCCTTACTTTATTTATTTTTTTTTGGTAAGAGTCCTAGAAGTGAAATTATTGGGTCAAGTAAACTGGTCATGTTTAAGGCTCTTGATTTTCTAAATTCCTGTCTGGAAGAGTTATAATGGTTTATGATAATTTGCAGGATGACACAAGAGAGACTGTTTTGCTATTCCCATGTGGAGACAGCTCTTGGTGCTACCATTAAAAAAAAATGGCATCGTAACTGTTAAAAAATGGTATCTTTTCATGCAATGGAAGTTTATTATGATTCACATTTTATTGAACATATGTACTTCCTCTTTAGTAATATCCACTCATTCCTTTTATTTATTTTTCCCATTATTGTGGGATCTTAGTGCTTTTCTTGACAATTTGTATAAGCTTTTTACAGGGACATTGATGCTTTATCTCATATTTGTTGCAAATACTTTTCCCAATTAGCTTTCCTACTTTTCACATCATATGTGCAGTCATATATGTACCTAGGTAATGATGTCCATGTCATTCCACCATCTTTCCTGCCTCCATGCACCCTCCCCATCCCTCCCTCCCCTTTGTCCAATCAAAGTTATTCTGTTTTTCCCATGTCCCCTCACCCCCTTATGGAACAGCATCCACTTATCAGACAGAACATTCAGTCTTTGGTTTTTTGCGATTGGCTTACTTCGTTCGCTTAGCATGATATTCTCCARTTCCATCCATTTACCTGCAAATGCCTAAATTTTATTCTCTTTTAATGCTGAGTAATATTCCATTGTGTATATGTACCACAGTTTCTTTATCCATTCATCTATTGAAGGGCATCTAGGTTGCTTCCACAGTTTAGTTTTTGTGAATTGAGCTGCTAAAAACACTGATGTGGCTGCGTTACTATAGTATGCTGATTTCAAGTCCTTTGGGTACAGATGGAGATGAGATAGCTGGTGGTTCCATTCCAAGTTTTGTAAGGAATCTCCATACTGCTTTCCACATGGGTTGCACCAATTTGCAGTCCCACCAATAATATATGGGTGTGCCTTTTCTTCTACATCCTTGACAACATTTATTGTTGCCTATATTCTTGATAACTGTCATTCTGCCTGGCATGAGATAAAATCTTAGAGTAGTTTTGATTTACATTTCTCTAATTACTAGAGATGTTGAACATTTTTTCATATATTTGTTGATCAAATGTGTATCTTTTTCTGAGAAGTGTCTGTTCAGGTCCTTAGCCCATTTATTGATTGGATTGTTTGTTTTCTTGTAGTTCTAGATGGACAGCATGCCTTTAAGTTTTTATTTATTTATTCTAAGTTAAGTTTTTTGAGTTCTTTATATATTACTTGTTGTCTTCTGTATCTCTGAAGGAGATTTTGAACTTTTGTAGTTTTCTTCACAGAAATTCTCATTATTGTTTGTTAAAGTTATTTCTTATATTTGTTTATGTATTTGTCACCATGAATGGGGTCTTTTTACCATATATTTCAACTCAGACTTTCTTAATCAGTTCAACGTCACAGAAACCTGAGAGAATATGGTGGATTCTTTGGCCTCCCATAAATATTCCCATAAATAAAACATTTTGCTAGCATTTGAGGTGGCTCACAATGCCTGGAGTCCAGGTTATTTACTTGGGTTTAAACTAAGTATTTCTGGGATTTGAACCAGCCATTTAATTTTTGTTTATTTACATAGTTGTCTAGTCACTTTATTGAACTAAAAATATCCAATTTGACCATTGAATTACTTGGAGAAATAATTTGTCTTATTCTAAACTGTTGTTTAAACCAGTTTGGCACTGTTACCCCCCTCTCCACTCCCCCTAGTTCTACTGGACTGCATCTCGGGGACTCTCACTAGGTTTCATCTCCTATCCAGGGTTCATGACTTTCTCACTAGATGTTAAATATCATTTTGCCCAGGTGTTTCATTTCTGGTTTCAGCCTCTACCCCATGTTCCTTAGATAAAAAACTTATTCATGTTTACTTGTGTCATATATTATGGAGAATTATATTGCCTTTAAGGGACCCAATATTTTGAAAACACAAACTTGTAAACCTTTTACCTGTAATAAAGGTATATTTGAAGTGGTATGTTTAAAATATATTTGATTTGTAAGATTTTGATCTACGTATTCCTCAATAATTGTTTTTCAATACCAGACTCAGTTGTAATATGCAAAACAGGAACAATATTAATATAGTAAAGCTTAATAATCATCAGTGGTCAACACGTAAGAATTTTGCCTTGCATTAAAGTGGAAATATAGAGATTAGAAAAAGAAACACTCTAAAAGTGATCTTTGCATGAATTTTAATATATATATAAAATGTAAAGTATAAACACAGAATTTCAAAATACTACATAATTACAAAAGAACTAAATTTTAAAATATTGACTGCCTGGTGCACAAAATTATTTTCCTAAATGCTTCAACAGTTGTCTAAATTTTTTTCCTCCTCAGTAACTGTGGTCTGAACCCAGGAGCATTTTACCACTGAGCTACATATCCAACCCTTTTAATTTTTTATTTTGAGACAGGGTCTCACTAAGTTGCTTAGGGCCTTGCAAAATTGCCGAGGTTGGCCTTGAACCTGCAATTCTTTTGCTTTAGTATCCCAAGTTACTCGGATTACAGATTCGGGCCATTGTGGCCCAGCTGAAATATTAATAACATATGTTCTTCATCTATAGGATAGTCCAATGAAAATTTTTAGAAAATCTGAACGCTACAGACTCATTCATATATTATTTAGGACTAGTCCTGGATGTAGCCATATGAAAACTTTTAACAACAACAACAAACCCGTCTTGCTCTTGAATCTAACAGTTGAGCATATTTTGTGTTACATATAAAACCAAAACCCAAACCAAAAAACTTCCAATGGAAAAGTGAGCTTGGAACATCCCTATAGCACACTGGGTAAACAGAGGTCTATCATCTTGCTTTTCTTTTAGCCACCATTTTTTTTTCAAAATATTTAAAAACTCTAACATGAATGCAAATGGGGTTTTGTTCCACCAGAACAGAAATGAAGTGAAAGTGGAATGAAATCTTTATATGTTGGGCTATCATTTGTGTTAAATATTTATGAGTTTGGCTATTTTTGTAACTGTCAATATTTTAGAAATGCCTCAACAAAAAATGTCATCTTTGCCATTCCCAGAAACCACTGGAAGACCCAGTAGGTGGGAGGTTACCTTGGCTTGCTGAAATCTGAGAAGTACATCTCTGCCAGCAGGTGCCACTGGATGCCCCCGTTGTTGCTGTACTGGAGGAGGACGCCCTCCTCTCGGCTGTCGGGTTTGTTGCACGCACCACTCTCTCCGCCTATCTGGATGTAGAACTGGACAAAGTCCACCCAAGAGGTATCCAGATCCCAGCTCACCAACTGTCTTTTCCCAGCCTTTCCAAAGAACAATAAAAACCACTGTCAATCATTTGAGAGCTCTTTGGCATTTGACTGTTCAGTTCCAAATTCACATGAACATCCTAACACTATGTGGAGGTGGTTTTGTCCCCAGTTACTACTGGGAGGAGCAAGCTGTGCCATTTTGTTGTTCTGTGCTAGCTATAGTAACTGTTCTTGGATATATTTGTTTAATCTCTTCATCACTGATTCCCAGAATAGATTATGAGGCCCTTGGGAATTTCTCATTATACCGAAGGGTATTTGAAAGTTTTTTAAAAATGAAGCAAAATTAACTTTAATTAAAACACTCCCGGCTTTTGCTTTATAAATCTCCTTTGGGCAGAGTAATGGAGAAGGAAGACAATATACCTTGAAATCAGAGGGCTTTTTGGTTTTTGTTTTTGCAGTGCCAAAGAGAGAACCAGGGCTCTGTGCATGCTAGGCAGGCACGCTAACACTGAGGTACATCCCCAGCCCMACGTGAATCTGGGTTTGAATCTCAGCCCAATACTGTTCAGGAGCTGTGTGGCCTTTCTGAGCTCTTATTTTCCTCAAAGGTACAATATGGTAAAAATACCTTACTCATAGGATGTTGTGACCATTGGGTGAAATAACACATGACAGAGAAACTGTCTAGCTCACTGTGTGCCTTCCTGAGGGAACATCCTCTCCAGAGATATGCCTGGATCCTCCTCTCCCATGGGAAACAAAATCAAACAGGCAAGACAGAAATTTCTTGGCAAAAGAGAGTACTGCAGTGTGTCACGCTCCTAGTCTGCCTGCCTGCTATCTGCCTGTCTTTCACTTTTCAATACAGAGGTTGGGTAGGGTTCATTTAAATTAGTTATTACAACCACTAAACAATCTTGTTATGTCTTTAAAGGGTTAAAACTTCCCACAAATCCACTTTAACTCACCTTTTCCCTTTGGTATGTCTGTCCCCTGAGCATCATGGCATTGTGGTGAGGTGTACAAACAACAAGAATGTCACTGTTGTTGTGTGTGAATGGTTTCATAAAAAGGGAACTGAAAGAAGGTTTGCTTTTGATACTTTTTTCCTAAGCAGGTATTGATTAATCCATGGACTTCTCTGAGTTGATCTCAGAGAACTTATAAGGAATTCAACTAAAAAGTCAGTAAGAAAAAATGGGGTTGGGGAGGAAGAGCAAGGGAGGAAGATTACCTCTAGATAGGGGAAAGGAGTGGGAGGGAAAGGAAGGGAGAAGCGGAATTGCATGGATGGTGGAAGGAGACCCTCATCATTATACAAAATACATGTATGAAGATGTGAATTTGGTGTCAACATACCTTATATATAATCAGAGATATGATAAATTATGGTATAATGGTGTATTAAGAAATGTAATGCGAAAATAAATAAATAAATAAAAGAATTAATTGGATAGAAAGTGTATTTTTATTTTCTTTATACATCTGTTTAAATGCTTTTTTATTATGTCTTCATTAAGCATAAAAATGTCCTAAATGGAATAAACTGAAACTTATCAAAGTTAAAAAAAAAAAAAGAAAAACTGAGATGGTATACATAGTACAGAAAACACTCCACATCCTTACAACCTGAACCCTACTCTAATCCACTAAGTTCATTATGGAAGGGTTTTAGCTATCAGAAGTTACAGGGTCAATATTTGGGACTAATTAAGGAGTACTCTGCTATTTTCAGAACTAAAGCCAATTAAGAGACTCCAAGACAAATGAAGGTTCCCACAAAATGAGAATTGAAGTTAATTCTGAGGCTGGAACTCACTCCTTGAAATTTTCATTTTTAAGTATGTATTTGAAGGAATCTTATAAGTAATATGCATTTTGAACTTGTTATAGGTACTTAAAATTTTTCTGATTGTTGATTTGAAACCCTCAGTGATCCTAGTATTTTCATGCTCCAGGCTCATTGCAGGAAGAATGATTTTTAGAGGAAAACCTATAGAACCTAGCAGGTTAATTCCAATCTAAGAAAACTCGTCAAAAACTTGGCATGTGGAAATGAGCCAGAAGGATAGACATCTAAGGTGAGGAGAGTTAAAAAAAAAAAGCCAATTATCACAATTAGCTGGTTGGAATGATTGTTCTATTGTGAAATTCACAGAGCAGAGTTGTTTTTCCAGGAGATGATAGTGTTAGTCTACAGAGGTTTCGAAAGATGGTTTTGTGGGATTTTTGTAAATGATGGAAAATATCACACTAATGCTTAGTTTGGCACTGAAAGTGTTTTTTCCTAGAGAATAGCACAAATCATTTTCTTTTGTTCAGTGACCTGAAATAATGCTGAATATTGTTTTAAAGGAAGAGGGGAAAAAAAAAGAAGAAAGAAAAGGAAATGGCTCATGACAAAGTTTTTGTTGGAATTTAGAAGTGGATGTAAAAGATGCTTTGAAGTTCTCCTGTTACACTGTGATCAATGGATTTGTGCATATGTGCAGACATATGTGCACATGTGTGTTTCTATGTGCATGTGTGTTTGAGTAGTAGGTTAAGCATCTCCTCATTCCGGGAGTGTGGAAATTACCTTTCAACTTTATCCTCAAATTCTAGATTAAAATGGTTCACTACTTTAAGGGTTTAGCCAAAAATGAAATAAGTTTTAATAAGGAATGCTTTCACCACTAGAACTTTTACAACAGAAYCTCTAAAATACTTCAATTATCTTTATCTTTTGCTTCCCATTGAAATTTCTTTAGCTAATCAAAATGCCCTAAAAACAAAGACTTCGATTTATTTGATAGTAACCATTCCTTCAGCATTTCTTTCTTAACTTCATTCCTTCCTTCCTTCATTCACTCATTCCCTTCTTCAATTTTTGTACCATGTATTATAGAAACAACCATGCAAAGGGCCCACAGATTTGCAGCAGAGACAGTGATGACAACTGAGGACTGCAGACCAAGTCCTGGTTACTTGTTGAGGCCCCTTTGGTCCTATGATCACTTACTAGTTCTCAAATCTATTTAGTATTCAGAGTATTTATTGACACGTGTATGTCTAGTGCCAGGCATGAATTTTGGAGCCTAACACTTTATCTAGAGTTTGACTCTGTTAGTGGGGTTCTACATTCTGCTAGGTACTGTGTGGATACAAAAAAAGATGATCAGTAGATGTATAAATGGAGAGTGTTCTAAAGATAGAGAGATTACTACAGTTTTCCCTAGCTCCCAAAGTCTTCATGGACACAGCAGGCTTTGAGTGGATGCTGAAAGGTTTATGTGATGCAAAAAAAAAAAAAAAAAAAGGAAGTGTAATGGGGCACAGGATCCAGAGCAAGGCAGGGAAACTGGAAACCTTGGATGACCAGGAGAGTTTCCTGGCTGAAGCAGAAGACTCATGTTTGGAAAATGAATATAAGTTATGCAGGGAGGGGAGGAGACCATCCTGGACATTGGCAAGAGGAAAGGAAAAGGATGGAAGTATATTTTTAGGTAAGTTAATCGAGGGTGCTTTGTGCATGGCCTAAAGTCCTTCTTTTGGGATCTTGCGTATTCTCCACTTCCAAATGTTTGCTGGGGGACTGCCAAATTGGTATCCCCCTTCTCTACCAAACCAGTGAGCACATGACTATGGCTCTGACCACCATTCCTCTCAGGACAGAGAGATTGTCAATCTAAAACCTTCCTCTGTTTTTTTTTTCCCTTGTCACTGCGTGACAATGGAATGGAGATAGAGATGGCTCTGTGGGCATTTGAGTTATTGACAACTATGAGGCCTCCTTGCGTTTTGACTGCATGAAACCAGTTTTTCCCCTTTTTGACTTCAGGTGGTTTCCCCAACTAGATATCTAAACAGATCTGAATCATTTAAGAAAAAAAAAAAAAAGCAAGCAATTACTCTGAGATATTCTGACAAAAATTTGCAAGGGAAAGCTGGATTGGGAGGTAAAGAGAAAAATTTCACTTTTAAAATTATGTAGACAAATTCAATAATACCAATTTGAAATTTATTTTCATAAAATATAATTATGATAGCTAACATTTACTGAGCTTTTTTGATGTGCCCAACATTATTTTTTGTTCTTACTGCATTAACTCACTTATTACTCTCAAAATCCCACTTTACAGACAAGAAAACTATAATACAGAGTAGATGTCATAACTTTGAAAGGCCAATCAATAAATAAGTTTTGGAGCACAGATACAAACCCAGGTAATCTTACTCCRTAGGCTCTCTTGAATTAAGTGGAAGAAATAATGACATGCAACACAGATCTTTTATGTATTTAAAATTTGTGTATGTGTGTGTTTACACACACATTTACTGGGATATTTAGGTATATGTTGGTGAAAGAKTCATAATCTTATTTTTTAAAATTTTATTTCAGTTATTCCTTAGAAGGTCAGGCACTTTAAAAAAAACAACAACTTTATTTTGTTTATTTAGTTTTTTTTTTATACGGTGCTGGGGATTGAACCCACAGCCTCAAACATGCTAGGCAAGCACTTTACCACTGAGCTACAACCCCAGCTCTCATAATCTTATTTTAAAATTGATGCTTATAGCCTTCTCTTTTCTGTGCAATTTTATAGCATATGCAGAT